TCTCTCTCTCTCTCTCTCTCTCTCTCTCTCTCTCTCTCTCTTTCTCTCTCTCTATATATATATATTTCAAGGTCCGGTTGAAGCCCAAAACTTCTGTCTGCCTGCAGCTGCATCAAATTTGTAATTAGGCAACTCCGCAGCTGATTTAGTGCCCACTTTCTCAATGTCGCCAGCGTTTTCCTTCTGCCTCTATTTTTTTTTTGGGATCGGTTGGTCGAGCAGGTCCCTCTCGGTCGTCTAGACCTACGTAGTTCCCCTTGCTATGCACCCTCTGCGTGTGTGTGTGTTTGCCTAAGCGAATACTAATAATCATAAACAATTTTATATCACTGAAATTATCACAAATAACAAAATATTTTTATTAACGTCGGAACCATTAAAAGTCGTAAAGTCGTCACGAAAACGGCTCGACGTAAAAACTGTGAAGCCAACAAATACAAATACGCATATAGAAAGAGAGAGAGGAAAATCTATATGCAACAAGCTGCGCATACATTAACATTTTCATAGTCAACAAAAACTAATTGAAATGCCTAGCATTATAGACTCCCAGGAATGCCACTAGATGTGGCAATCTGATTTAGATTTCAAGTGGGCAAATCAGAAAAATAATAATAATATCTTAATTTACCATACATAAAAATCCAATATAAATTGTAATCTTAATAGACATAAGGGATTAATAAAAATAAAAAAGGCATTGATATTAAAAAAAAAAGAATTTCACTGACTTTATATTCTTAATCGAAATTATTGATATTATAATTGACAATACCCATTAGTAGAGTCAGCGTATGATATACTAATACCAATATAAAATATAGATATAATAATGATAATGGTAGAAAATATAATAGATAACATAATAATACTATAAGATATGAGATAAAGGTATTATTTCCTATAATCTGAACTTCCTATACTTAGTGTCAAAAGAAAGGCTTGATTTATGTACATACATACACACAATACATACATACATATGTATGCACATATTAAGACTGCTCAACCATGAACATGTGGACGGTCCTTATAAATATGAGGAAACTCAGGATCAATTAGACATGCTAGCGTGTTTAAGCATGCACGATTTACCAAAGGGGCGAGAACGTCTCTGCAGGAATCTACTGAGGTCGAAAACAAACTCCAGACTCTAGAGATCACTTGAGCCGCCAACATGTTTGTGCTTGCAACGACTGTTCAGTTCACATTTTTATCTATACACTAGCTCGCATAAGTCTGCGTACACCAGGAAGTTATTCCTAGTTGCCTCTAGCATTTGCTTTAAGGCTAGTACTGTTCAAAAATGTAATAATACGATCATAAGTTGTAGCTGAATAATGTTTAAATATTTTGGTTTCTAGAATATTTAATCAATAATACTAAATCAAAGCAAAAAATGTTTAAAAATTGAAAAACAAAATCTATAATAGGTACTCCAAATTAAGAACTTTTAACGTAAAACTAAAAACTCATAAAATAAAACTCAACAGCCATTTTTAAGACAGATCAAAGCCATTTAGATTATTTGCAGAGACTTGAACTCAATTTAAGCTCTGGCTAAATTTAATTTCCAGTTGTTAACGTAGTAATTCGAGTAGTTAGTCGGATTGGCCAATTGGACCGTTCAAATGATTTATGCTGGCCATAAATACAAGAGATCTGCACTAAAGGCCATATATCAATGCTGTGCGTATAGCACATTTGAGCAGGTAACAAATCGGTATGAAGGTACATACATATGTATATGTATATATACAAGTATATATATTGGAATATATATCCTATATGGAGGCAACGGGCTGTTGCTGTCTAAGTGCAGACATTTGGAACACACAATTTCGAGGCGGAGTCGAAGCACTAAAACGAATCTTTAATTGCTACTTGACGCCCGTCGGGACAGACGGAGAGAAACAGAGGGAGCGAGAGAGTGAGAGGGGGAGAGCGACTCCTGGCAGTCTTCTGATTTTTATTAAAGTTTCAATGTTTTCTTTTTATGCACCTTCACCAAAATGAAAGGAGTATATGGGTTCTCCGCAGTTCCAGGTTTGCTTTCTGTCCGTCCGTCCGTCTGTCTGTTCCTCCGTCCATGTATCCATTCGTCTTTCCGTATGAATGCAAACTACTTCGGCAAAGGACTTGAAATTTGTAACGTATAGTTAGGCTTATCCTGGAATTTTGAACATCTTGCTAGTCTTTAGTTAGTTCTTGAGATATCTTCTCAGATCCGCCCACAAGGGGCGTGATACAGAGAATAATACATTTTACTGGCAGTTGAATATCCTCAAGACTTTAATACTTGAATGTAATATTATTTTGGAATATATGTATAATCGAGCTAACAATCCTAAATCTATAAGATATGGCGAATGATTATTGGAGGAGTTTAAATATATTGGAAGATTGGCAGATTTTTGGCGATGAGTGAGTATTCTGCAGTCGATACAGCCCGACTGGGAGAGTCTTACTTGTTTATTTTAGTATTTTTGGCCAGGCTCTGCGATCTGCATGTTTCTTTTTCCTTTTTTTCTGGTTTTTTATGGCTCTTGAGTGTTGCCAGCGGCATTTAAATTATGATTATGGCTCTGGAGCGTAACCCAAGTGGCTCGACTTCCCAAACTCAACTCGTATCGGCATCGGCATCGGCATCGACATCGCATCGCATCGGCAATGTTTGCTGCAAATGTTTTCAAGTGGACGTTTGCGAGGAGCAATTAAATCTGCCTGCCACATGCCCCAGCCTCGTTGCCTCTCATCGATTCGCCTGCGCGTCTCACTCGCTCTCTAATCTAAATGGACTGCATTTATGTAATTAACGCCATCAAATCATTTGGCCCCAGCCGACAACAGCAACAGCAACGAAATGGAAAATTGGAAAATTGAAAATGGAAAATTATCGTAAAACTCAAATGCCGAATATGAATAGAGACTTCGTTTGTTATGATTTGTTGCATCGCGTCTTGGCCCAATTGCAGCAAACTACTTGAAAATGGTTTTTAATGAAACATCTCATTTGTAATCGATGAGGCTGTGCCTCCAATTAGATGAGAGCTGCAACTATTTTGAAATCCATGCTGAAGTGCTGCTCTTTAATGTGAGCATAACCTCACACTTAAAGCACATTAAATGCCGAATACAATGGATCTATTGAAATCGAAATGTTCCCATAAAAGAAACTATAATTTCGATTACATACTCACTGCTTAATAAGAAAATAATGAATATTTTTATAATCTATTACAACGTAAAATCTTCGATTAATCTGAAAAATAATTTCCAAGTTCAATTTAAGCGTAAAAGATTATAAAAAGAGTAAAGATGTAAAAATAATTTTAAATGTCTAATAGAATAAAAGAGTAATATTATATCTATCAAAACTTGGAACTACTGGGAAGAAAGCTAAGAGAATGAAAGAAGACGATCGTATAGGCTATTATTGCTGATTAAGAATATATAAACTATATGGCCATACCTCTTCCTATCTACAACATTAATTTCAGCCAAACAATTATAACCTCAGCTCCATGGTATGTAAATGCATATAATGTTAATTTCACGATGCATTACTTTGTTACATCTCAATTATTAGAATGAAATAGAAATCCCCTTCTCGTATCGAGTTCAAACCACAGTACACATTGACAAACTAGTTGAGTAATACGATAAGATGTATGCGATTCAGAGTAGGTGGAGACGGAGGACGTGATATTCGTGCAAGTAGGGGGGCTGCGGGCTCTCGCGATGAGCCGAAGCCGTACCGCAGCGCTGCTGCCGCAGCTGCTCCGGAAAGTAACGCCGCTCACCGTCCAGAATCGGGTCTATCGGCTCAATAAACGTAATCAGTTGACAGAGCGAACTGAGCGAGTGAGCACCGAGCAATTGAACATGCACACCTTGGAGGCGAATGCGACGCGCAACTTTGCTGGCAATGCGTCACAGGTCCCGATTGAGCCCTGCTTTCGGTATACACCTGAGCAGGTGGCGTGCGCCGGGGAGCAGCCGTATGTGTCGGATGTGGTGCTGAGCAAGGAGGAGCGGCGCGAGTTCTTCTATGGCATTGAGATAACCGCCCAGAACAATGGCAAGCTCACCTGCGTGGACTTCAACAGCTTTCTGCCCATCTTGCCCAGCTTCATCAGCATTGTGTGGCTGCCGCACTATTGGAACGTATCGCCCCTGGAACGGGTGGAAACGCTGCAGATGATACGAAACCTGGAGCCCTACATACCGGCCATGCCCCACTTCAGCGTCTACAAACAGACCGAGGAGCGTATCAACGAATTTTTCTCCCTCAACTTTAAGAATCTGCTGGCAGTCAGAGGCGACATGCGGGACGACAACCAATTCTATCTCTTCGGTCATCAGCTAGTCGAGCATGCTCGACGTGTGCGCAAGGGTGAGTACTTTAATCTTCCTCACACACTTTTCTCTCTCTCTCTCCCACTCTATCTCTTGAATTCTAACACGGTTTCCTTTTTATCTGGCAGAATATATATCAATTGCTGTTCCTGGTTACCCGGAGGGCAATAAGAAATTAGATTTGGATCAAGACATAGCGTTCTTAAAGAACAAGGTAAGAGTTAACTAAAAGAAAAATACGTGTCTTAAGTTACCCTGTAGCTAATCTTAATCTTAATAATATTGCTCGATATATTCCTCATGCTTGAACTACTCTGTTCTCATTTTGACTTTTCTATTGAATTAAAGGCGTCGCTTTTGGCCATTTGAATGCAAAATTGAGCGAGAATAATAAGAAATTTTATTTGTTGTTGAGGATAACAAGGGATTTTTCTTGATTTTATCTCCTTTACATCAAGCAATATTAAGTCTCAAACGAACTACAGGGTATTGTCTAGTCACCCATATCACATGTCATCTCGATCAGTCTTGTTTTTATTCCGTTAACCTCATTCAATAGTATCTCATATCAGCGCTGCTCTCACAGCTCTTATCCCTCTTATCAGCATTCGTCTCTCTCACTCTGGCTTTCACTTTTACAGGTTGATAAGGGAGCGGATTTCGTAATCACTCAGATGTGCTACTCGGCGGAGCTGATAATCAAGTATGTAAAAGCAGCTCGTGACGTCGGCATTGTAACGCCCATAATGGTGGGCGTGGTGGTACCCGAGTCATTGAAAGCCTACAGAATAATGGAGAAGATCACGAAAATCACGCTGCCAGAGAAAAAACTCGCCGAGCTCGAGAAAGTCCAGAAAGATGATGCAAAGGTGCGCGAATTCTTTGTCCAATTGGCATTATGCACCATTCTACAGGTACTGGACGCCAAGCTAGACGTGTATGGCATTCAGTTCTATACGATGAATCGTTTTGGTGCCGTGCACGACGTGCTTCGTGAGCTGCGCAAGCTGGGCATATTGAAGAAAACGCCGCCAGATGCTTGCGAAGATGCTTAGTGGTAGCACATTCAGACTATCTATCAAAATTTGTAGTTTTTTTTTTTTTTTTTTTTTTTTACAGAGGGAACCAACGAAAAATTTAAATAAAATCGTATTAGTGAACCGTTTGGCCTATTATTTATTCAGCTGAACTCATAATGTAAAATACCATCACTAACCAGAAACAACAACAAATTCGCAAAGTTTTTACAGTTTCAGCAGCATACACACATTTATTTACATATGTAAATACATACACTTATGCTACCCAACCACTTATGTTGCCAAACACAGAGAAATATCCAATCGCATCAACGCTTAAATACCCTTTAAACGATCTCATCATATGAGCGAGTTGAAATCTTGAGCAACAAAGCACATACATACATACATATAAAATGTAAAGCAACATACATACACACACCTACCACATGCATGCATAAAGTCGAGTGAGCAAAATTGAGAGTAGGATGAAAGGCAATAGCAAAGTTACAAAAGGCAGCACCCTCTACCTGCCGAGCTGAGCTTACGCCTTCTCTATCTTCCTTGCTGACAGAGCGAGAGCATCTGATCCGAACAGCCGATTGTGAAGAGAAACAAACACTGTGCCTCTCGCTCAGATTCTTGTGTTGAAAACAGTGCTTCCTTTGCTTGCCTAAGTACAGTGTGCCAATAAAGAACTCTTGCCAGTATAAAATTGTATTAAAAGTTGCACTTGCAAATAAATATATGAGTATGTAAGTTTGATATAGTTTTAATTATATAATATCATTTGTATATATGTATTATTGAATGAATTATGAATCCTTTTATATTTATTATTATCAATAACACAGCACTTATAGCAACACTTTTTCCTCATCAGCAAAGTGCTTTCACAACTACTGTGAATTCAGATTTGCGTTTTGCCTATATGCAGATTCCGTTAGAATTGTGCTCAATTCTTCTCTTTTCTCTCTTTGTGCCTTGTTGGTATTGTGTTTAGCTAACGATGTGTTTAGTGTGTGTGTGCATTCTGCACGTAAATGCACAAGAGTCTGGCAACGCTCTCAGCACAGATGTTCTATTAGAATGCAATTTCTGGAATTTTGAATGCGAACATGCTAAGAGCTGGCAATGGAACAGTTGCAGTAGAGGAAATCTCTGCAGCAACCTATGCAGAGTTTCTGCAAAGGCACGAGTGTGTCCTGCGCGACGAGGTGACCATGCTGGGCTTTAAGGCGGCCATCGAAGCCAACGCGGAGCTCTTTCGTCAGGCCACAGTGCTCGAGGTGGGCTGCGGCAGTGGCTTACTCTCCCTGTGGGCAGCCCAGCAGGGCGCGGCCAAGGTCATTGCAGTGGAACCGAGCGCCGTTTGCCAAGTGGCGCGTCAGCTGGTGCGCCACAATCGCTTGGAGCACGTGATCGAGGTGATCCAGGGAAATGTGCAGCAGCTGCAGCTGCCCCCCGTCGACATCATCGTCTCCAAGTGGATGGGGTAAGCCCATGCCCAGTGGATAGGCTACTCTACACCTTCCTTCCTCTACTTCCAGCGCCTGTCTGATGTACAGCTCCGCCCTGGAGGCTGTGATCTATTCCCGGGACAAGTGGCTCAAGCCGGGAGGCCGCATCTTCCCGCAGCTGGCCAATCTCTATATGGCCCTAGCCGAGCAGCCCGAGGAGCACCCAAGCATGCCGGATTATTGGACCCGTTACTCCGGCCTGGATTTGCACCTGGCCTGGCGCATCGTTCAGCAAACACCTGTCATCGATTGCATCGACGCTGCCCAGGTGACCACCCAACGGCAGCTGCTGCGCCGCTTCGACCTGAGCACGCTTAGCGTCCATGAGCTGAGCTTCACCGTGCCCTTCCGGCTCTTCAGCTTCCGTCAATCCCTGGCTAAATGGTTTCTGCTCTACTTTGACTTTCAGTTCCCCAAGCTGAAGCCAATCACCACGAGTCCAAATGCCCCGCCCACTCAATGGAAGCAGACGCTCTTCCACATCGACGCCCATCTGCCGCTCTGCGTTCGGGATGCTGTGAAGGGCCAATTCCAGGTGAGGCGCGCCACCCGTCACCTGGACTTTGACATCGATTGGAGCTTCAAGAACAAACTAGTTCACGTTCCCATGCACAAACAAATCTATCGCATGCAGGGCGAGCCGAATACTATTTAAGCGATATTGGATATCGAAAGAAGTTATTTTTATATTTTATATCTATAATAATATATTTTAAGTATGTATATTTTATATTTTAATATACCTGTTATATTTTCATTACAATTTTTATCATAGTCTTTCAAGTAACTATAATATATTTTATATTTATCATTTACGTAAATTTCAATGGAATGTATATAGTTTTAGTCATCTAATTGATGCTTTTTAAATTATACTCTATAAGACATTTATATTGTGAATTAACTGAATAATTGAAAATATATAAATATAAAATGATAATTAATTAATTTTGTTAGTATATAAATATTAAGAGAAATCAGAGTTTTCAAAATTGAAAGATATTATTTGTATTCATAGTTTTCATGTTGCCTGAAAAGCCAAAAAAAAAAAAAAAAAAAATACAAAAAAAAAAAAGTTATTATTTTTAATAAGGAAATCAAA